ATATGAACTCGAGAAACTCCCAAACTTTATATTAAGTAGTCGAGATGACTTTTTGTCTTTAAAACATCCCAGACTAATTTGCTTTGGAAGTAACTCTGTAGAACACAAAGGGATTTGAAAAATCTTTCCTAGCTTTTATCCAGAAACGAAATAATTAGTTTATTAAATAAGACCCATATGAATATATGTTCATCTCACTGCTTAGCCAAAGCCTCAGCTTATGATTCATAGAATTCTTGACAATCAAAAGTGTTAGTCAACGCCAAAAAATTGATCGGAAAATTTAGATAATTGTTAGTATCAATCCACCGCAAACATGCCGTTGCCAGTAAGACTGAGGTCCTAAAAATAGCCAATCACATTGAAGCACTATGCGTTATGGGCAATGAGACATCGCCTTGTAAATTGACATTTGCAGTGGGTAGTCGAAGCGACTATTTAGAATCACAACCTACTTCACGAAGTCAGTAAAGGGACCTTAGTTATTTATCTCTATAAGAGATCTACAAGATCTCTAAAAACTTTTGGCGACTTTTTTTTGGTGCATTTTGTATCCATGCAGCGATATCAGTTGAAGTCCACATTGACAGAACAGTTTTTTTTTTTTATCCTCTGCGAGTGACTTACCAAATGTATACACAGCAATACGTTTATTAACACCGATGCCATTCGGACAGTTGTTATCACTGGTGGCGCCCTCTTTGTGGTACTCATCCCTTACGTTTGTTCCTGATCGACATAAGCTATTATATCCCAGTGCAAAGAACCTGTAGCCTTTATCAAACGCCAACTCAGCGCATGCACTGATAACCTTTTGCTGTTTGTTATTTTCGACTTGAGACTTAAAGTCACCGAGTATGTCAGGGAGGAAACTGGAACCAGTGTTAAAGCAGGCGATTTTGCTAAATGTAGGGACTGAGAAAAGATTGCATATCACATTGATAGTTTATGATGAAGGGTTAGTAATACTCATTGTCTCTTGATTTAAAGAAATTAGAATGAGATCCGGCGGTCAGACTTCCTACCTGTAGACATGACACTTTAAGTATTTATTAAAACAGAAGACAGCGTTGACTGAAGGCGTGCTTTGATTGGCTACTCAAACTACTAAGATCCTTTTCTATTCACCTCCAAACAACGCACTCGGGATTTGCACCCCAAAATTTTGTAATCGTTGCAGAAATAAATAAGTTAAAATAATTTTTTGATGCCATATTATATCACTGTTTTATTAGAAACTAAAATTTTAGCTTGATGGTTATTACGTTACTTTTAGTTACAGCGTGATGCTGAGCTATGTCTTATCTCAATCTGCTTGTGTCTTCACCGTTGGAAAGTATGTAGTCGGTGAATTCTTCAAGGAATCAAAATGGTTAGCAACTTCCTACCTTGACAGTTTTTCCCGCTGTATCCATCAGTACAGTGGCAGTGATACAATGAAACATCTTGGTCGTCATTACTACAGGTGGCTCCGTTCACACAGGGTTTGTTGTCACACGGGAACAGTCGAACTAAAAAAAAAATTTCCAAGGCACTATCATAGAGCACATTCATTCTTAATTTATTTCGACTCCTTTTTATTTAAAAGGTAAGAAATTAGAGGAAAGGTCCTATGCCTCTTTTATAGACTACCACACTAAAAAAAGATAAGGCATCAGGAAACTATGCCAAAAAAATAAGCGATACATGGGCGTTGGCCACCTCGGCAGAGCAGTTTTTCTCTCTTGGCATCTACCACAATAATTCTTGAACGTAACTCACTGTGCCCATAGTAGAAAGTATCTGTATGGAAAAAAATCTGAACTTGCCTTGACAATTAATTCCTTTGAACCAGTCTCCGCAGTCACACGAATATTTGTGTGGCTTGCTTGAGGAACTTGAACATTGCCCTCCATTTAGACATGGTTTATCAGTATCACAAATTGTTTGAGCAACTAAAATAAAATTAAAAGATGTTGCTCTTGCATGGCACAATACAGAAGGTTTTGTACTGTTACAGCACTTTTCGATTTAGTGTCGTAGAAGCAAAACCAAAGTAATTATTACAGCCCAACGGAAGAAAGGAAATACTCTTCAGAGCGAAATAAAACTCATAATACAAATAAGCCAACAGCCTTTCCGCAGGAAAACGCGGGTAACCAAGTCGTGATTGCGTTAAGTTTTCTATCAGATTGGTTGAGAGTGTCGCACATTTTTATGGGCCGATTATGTTGCATAAGCAATGCAATCCCGGATTAAGATTAAGATTTCATTTCAACACAACAACCTGGGGTCCCTATTTTTTTTTACCTTCACAGTTTGTTCCAGTAAACCAGGCTGCGCATTTGCACTTGTATTTGGAGATGTCTTTGGGATCATTGTTACAAGTGGCGCCATTTAAGCAAGGTTTGCTGTCGCACGGGTAAATTTGAACTGCGGAGAGAAATGAAAATATGATACTAGTGTTTCCGGCAGATAAAGAATGCTCGATGAAGCGTTTGAATTTCATTTACTGAATCTGAGATTAATGTTTCCTAAAACTGACAAGATTCTGTTTTCTCCCTTAATGGTTGACAGTGAAGACCTCCCAAAAACTGAATAAACTCGTTGGATCAAAAAACCGTAGCAGGCAATCCATCTTTTAAACACTCTTGTTCTCTATTTGTTTAACTGGGCTTATTTAGTATTTTGTGAACTTTGCCGATTGTTGGGCAATAAACAAACGCCAAATCATGAACCCTTTGTGTTTTCTTTTTTTCCCCTTTTGTTTACAATTGTATGTTTGTACAATTTTTTATAACGACCTTACCTTCGCAATTATTTCCCGTGAACCAATCGCCACATTCACAGCGGTACCTATTCGGATCGCTGAAATGTACCACGCACGTACGCTCGTTCTTACACGGGACGGTATCGCACACGTTTGGACCACTAAACGCTGGTCTTAGACGATATACAAAATTGGTCAATGATGCACCCACCCCTCCCTGGCACTTATCCGGCAAGGCTTCTCCATAGGTTTTGTAGTTGTCAACTATTTTTGCATCGGTGCGACAGTCCCCAGAGTTCTGTACTGCAAAGTATTCATAGTCCATGTCTCTGGCGAGGTGCGCGCATCTGATGACCATAGCGTAAGGGTCCTGTGCATCGTACGAGCTCGAGAAACTTCCGAACTTTATATTAAGAAGCCGAGCTGACTTTTTCTCTTGAAAACATCCTAGACTAATTTGCTTTGGGATTAATTCTGAAAGCAAAAGTAACATGAACATTTATCTACCTTTAATTATCCGGTAAGTACAATGCGATGATTGTTGTGTATAGTTTTCTCAAGTCTTTTCGTTGTTTCCTCCTTTTGGACTTAATGTCATGCAGGTTACAATGGAACCTCAGGCTTACATTGACAAAGTAATCTCATCTTGCTCATCTTGCATAGTTTTATTCATTGATCGACTGACTTATTGTCGATCCTTGATTCATGCACACAATCGCATTCTTTTTTTGTGATCTCATTGTTGCTTTTCTTTCTCAGACGCCTCCTTGATCATATTAGCGTTTCAAATGTCACAAATGTGTTGTACCCGTCGTTTTTTATTGTCGTTTTTTTCCTCTATGATCATATTATTAATTGTCAATATATTTTTATTAAAGTTTTGAACAAATATTATCAACGTGGAACTTACCAAATGTGTAAACAGCAATACGTTTATTAATGCCGATGCCATTCGGACAATTGCTATCACTAGTGGCACCTTCTTTGTGGTACTCATCGCGGGCGTTCGGTCCTGATCGACATACGCCATTATATCCCAGTGCAAAGAACTTGTAGCCTTTATCAAACGCCAACTCAGCGCATGCACCTATTACTTGCTTTTCATCTGCAACCTGGGACTTAAAGTCACCAAGTATGTCAGAGAGGAGGCTAGAACCAGTGTTGAAACAGGCGATTTCTCTGAACTTGGGAACTGAAAAAAATTTGTGAAAGGTTTCATGGTCACTTTTTTTTTTTCTATTTCAGTCAGTTACCGAGGATTTAAGCGTGGAGAGGATGTATCTCTTGAATTTTCGTTTGGTGTTTTTCAGTGATGTAACGTCCCACCTTTTCCCATTGAAAATATAATCTAAAGCAATACATAAACCCAGGTTTTTAATTTGGACGGAAAATATCGATCGTGGAACAAAATGATTTACGTATGTAGTTGGTAGTTTTCGAAAAACCTCCTACCCTGACAGTTTTTCCCGCTGTAGCCGTCGGTGCAGTGACAGTGATACAATGAAACATCTTGATCGTCATTACTACAGGTGGCTCCATTCACACAGGGTTTGTTGTCACACGGATACCTTTGGACTGAAAAAATAAAGATTCCAAAACTGCTTGCTGGCATGTTCAACAATATAGATTTTCTCTAGTAAGGAGGGCCTTCCTTATTGTTATGCACTGAAAAAAATGTGGAAAATCTACCGCTCAGGATATGGAAATGATTCATAAACGTTTTGAAGGGAATACCACACAAGATGAAAAACCATAATACCACAAAAAAAAATTTTGAAAAAAATTAAAGATCAACAATGAAAGGGCTTGCGGTAGTTCCTTACAGGAAAATTATTCATGGGGACGTCATGGTAATTATCACAAACACACACATAAAAGACCAAAGATCAAAGATTATTTCAGCTCACCTTCACAGTCTTTTCCAAGGAACCAGTCTCCACATTCACAACTGTACTCTGCAGGATTATCTAAACTGCTTTTACAAGTCCCTCCGTTCCTGCACGGATTAGCTGCGTCACATATTGTTTGTTTGTCTAGAAAGTAAGAACTTTATTTCCATTTCTTTCTTTTATTTAATTTTCTTGGTTGATAACTAGTGCCAAAGCAACAATTAGTTTGAGATTTGTTGTTGCATGGTTGGCAGGAGAGATGGACATCCAAGATTGTTGATTTTACAAATTTCAACAAGATTTTGGCATGCAATTGCCTCTAGCAGAAATTCAACCGCATACGGCCTTTGGTAAGCTTAACTATTTGGATAGCCAGCTTTTAAGGCCCCTGGGGTAGATGTGCGATGAAACGAAATAATAGCACAAACAATCACTCTTAAGCGGCATTTGTTTCATAACTCCACCCTGACAAGTTAATAAGTTATGACAATGTTCCCTGTGAAGGGAGGGACACAAAATCACGACCAATAAAACCAGCTTGTGCACGCTTCGCAGCTAATACTACAGATCTAAAAATTTTTTCGCCAGTAAATGTCTCGAGAACGATAGGCATTCTGCGCGATGGTATGAGAAATGATGACAAGGAGAAAAGGGAGAGGGCATGACCATAACTTGAAAGAGAATTGAATGGGATGTGTGACCATGACATAAATTGTTCTGCTCCATCTGTTTATCTTAATGGAAATCGAAAGCTTTTTACAAGCATATCAGCCGGAGCTGATGCTCGATTTGCGCGCAGTCGGCCAACAGTTGACAAGTGAATCGTTTTACGTCTTCACATTTTTGTGGACAGTGGATTAATTAATGATGCGGCCATTATTGAACAGTTTATTGTAACTACATATTAATACTGTTACCTTGACATTTGTCTCCAACAAACCATTTGGGACACTTGCAGTGATATTTTGAGATGTCACTTGGATCGTTACTGCATGATCCACCATTAACGCAAGGTTTGCTATCACATGGGAAGATTTGAACTGCAGAGGAGAAAGAACGAAACAGCATTGCTAAGGCAATTACCGTCGGGTTGTAGGACCAAAGTCAGATGACCGTCGAGCTGAAGGGAAATTTTCACTCAGATATCAATATACCAAAAGGGCGCTAAGACAAAGAAGTAATAAATAACCGGAAAAAGCAGTTAATCGATCGAACTGGTCGTCCAATAGTGATATACTTTCACTGAAAGTGCTCTGTTACTGTGGAGCTTCTCCTGGCAATCACAGCTTTAATAGCTTTCATGGCATAAGGGATGTTAGTTAATTGCAAGTAAACCCTTATTAAACTGACCTAAAAATTGGTTTTCAGATCAATCTCTTTTCGTTGATGGAAAGAGACACTGAGAGAGTGCCCATGGACGCAACACGACTACCCGGTCATGGTTCGAACCAAACCCCTCTCGACCCAGATTGGAAGGACTTAACCATGCATCTAACTACCGAATCTTTTTTTAAAATTTAACATAGCTGCAAATAAAATAGTGACGTGGCGTGAGGAAAACCATGACTTAACATTAACATACGCTCAAGCTTCGGTATCATGTCTATCCTACCTTCACAATTTTTTCCCTTGAACCATTCACTGCAAGCACATTTATACTCAGATGGTTTGGCTGGATCACTGCTACAGTAACCATCGTTGACACACGGGCTGGAATCACATGCACTCGACAAAACTAACGAGTTGAAAGAATAGTAAACACAGCCTTCATTTTATAAGATTACAGGAGAGTAAACAATTAGCTCTTGGTATAAAGGGCCAAAAAATATATTTAGGTGATACCAGAAATCATAAATTTGAGACAAATTTTGGATTTATTTTAGTATTTTTCTGGAGAGCTATGGAGATTTTAAGATTTCAAAATTAAAAATATTGACAACCTTAAATTGATTGATTATGAAAGTTTTATTGATACCATATGGCTAGGATCGTTAGTTTTCTTCATATTATGAAAGAAAAGATTCAGACAATAGCACATATACGCCTCACAAACCTTCACAGTTAGTTCCAGTTATCCAGGGAGGACATTGGCAATGGTATTTTGAAGAGTCTACTTTGTCGTTTACACAAACACCATCATTGTAACATGGGCTGCTATCGCATGGATAACTTGGCTCTAACCAGTAAAAATAGAAAGTATAAATTATTTCAAACCTTAGGAGCTACTGTGAATCCTCTTTAACGAGATAATGGCTCATTGCAGTAAGCTTTGAGCAATTCCTTGAACCTCCTCAAACGGTTCGTCAGTATCATTGCCTCTTATTGAGCAGTAAGAGGCAATGTGGAAGTCACATGCATTGTTCAGGAACACAACGCTATAAACTGTATTTGGCACGATCTTGATGGTTTACCTTGACAAGTGTATCCAAGAGGTGAATTCACATCAGGAGAACAGATTTCTTGATTTACACACGGATTGCTTTCACAAGGGTCCCTCTTAACTGTAGAAAAACATAGTTGTAAAGTTTCGCCGAATTTTCCCCAACAATTCGAAGTTAGTGTAAATAATCAGTCTTTGTGCAACCGATTCAGTGCAAAGAAATGCACTCGCCATAAGCTTCAGTAGGTCTATCGTGCCTCTTACATTTAATCTCTCTCTGGCTGCGTTTTTAAAATTTTTCTTTATTTCATTCAGCATTCATTTTTTACAATACGTTTGGTTTTAGCTCATAACATCCTATTTAAAATTAAAAAGCGACTAAAGTTTTTCTAAATATTCAAATAATGGTAAATAATTAAACGGGAAGCATCTCACACCTTCGCAATATGAACCGGTAAAACCAGCCTGACACAAACAGGGGTGATTAACAGAGTTGCCAGTACAAATTCCTCCATTCTTACAAGGGTTCACTTCATCGCAAATGCCTTTTCCTGTTAGAATAACAAACATATTTTGACTTAAATTTCAACAGTATGCACAAACGAAAGTTTTCAAATATTTCAAGTGGTGTATACATCTTTAACCACCCTCTCTATTTCCCTCCGGGGTCGTCCCTTAGTCAATCTCTTCCACTTTTCACACGATTAGCTTATATTGTGATCGAGATGTTTTTGAATTATCATTATTTTTATTATTGATTGATCATAGTAAATAAAGCTGCTAGATGAACTCCATGTTGAATCTTTGTATGTCTTTTTTAGATGGTCCTAATTTATTTGATAGTAGGATTACATTTAGACGTTTCTCCTTTATTTAATATATAAATATATAAATAAATAAAAACGTTCGATACTGTGTCCAAACATCATCAAACGGGTTTCATGTCAGCAGATGTACTCTAAAAACTAGTTGCGTTTATCCTAATTTCCATGGCAAGAGACATCTAGCATCAGCAAATACTTCTTAATGGTATGCCGTTTAAATATTGGTCACCCATTGCATTTTTTCGATTTCCTGCGACAGTTAGCTAAAACCCAGCATGAATGGGTAGAGAAGCATAACGATTATAAAGCATCCTGCCCCAAAAACACAACACAATGAGGTCAGCTAGGCTTCTAACCTGACCATTAATTTTAACAAGAGGTCTATGACGTCAGCAATTAGAGAATTACCGTGTTACCATTAGTGTTACCATTAGTTTCATGCATATTTACCGTTTGAGTTCCCCTCAGCAGGGCAAGGGATGTTAACATGACAGGCTAACTGAGTGACTGGCTTATTGGGCCGATAGGCACATTCAAGATCCGACACCGTTGATGTTGCCCCACTTTGGTCGATTTTTTGACACACTACTTGTCTGGTCATTTTGCCTGGCTTGCATGTAGTGGAACACTGTAAAGAGGAGAAGAAATAGGTTATTTAGTGCCATTAGTCACTTTTAGCACTCGTATAGTTTTTGCCATGAAATTGCCTTTTGTAAGAAAAGTTGGGTATTAATGTAGGTGTCTTTAACAGTCTGGTCCCGAAGGCAGACATTTACTCTTTCATCGAGGAATTACATCTTATAAACAGGATCCATATCTTAATATCTTGGAGTGTTAAATCCTCATTGGCTGTCCCAAATCTTCACGTAAGAGGTGGTGTCAAAATGATTTGACGAACAATCTCTGTTTTCGTTGAGAAATTAAGACAGCATCCCTGACAAAACTGGTGAACATTTTACCTTGGACCAGGCGGAGTCCACAACCCACTCAGCGGGACAATCAATCTCATTACAAGATCTCTTTTTCGAAGAAAGAACTGGTTTAGTTATCGCCGGACATTTTGAATTTTTTACGACAACAGTTTTTGACGACACTTCCTGCTGACAGATCACTTTTCGTGTTTGAATACCGCTCCCACACGTTTTCGAACAAGGCGTCCACTCCTCAACGTACCATCTATATATAAATTTCATAGAAAAAACCATACTACTAGTATCAATTCAGAGTTCAACATAAATGTTAAACTATTTTTAGTAATTTGTCTTGGTATGGGAACGAGGTTTCTTGCATAGAGGTCGAGTGAGGTTTGATTTCGGGATTCATAATCAGGCTTCCATTAAAGCCGGCCTATTACTGAAGTGGGCCTGCCTAGTTAGGTATTGCCCAAAAATGAAAAAAATTGTTCTTTGTGAGGATATATTCAGTGCAAAGTAGTATAATCGGATATTCTCCTGTAATCTTCAGGATACCATCAGAGGAAGATGTCAGTCTGATCAGTTTTTATAACGTTATAAAGAGCTATGAGTCACCATGAGCGATCAACTTCAGTTCGTACTTAGCTTCACACGCTTGGGTGTTGCATTTCTGGGTGCTCGCTGGTTTTGTGAGTGAGCCACAAGCTTCATCGGAGACAACAGAAGAATTTTGAGCGAGGAAACAGAACACATCTCGAGTTTGAGTACCTACAAAGACAGAATTATGAGTCATGGTGTTTTTCTGTGGAAAATTCGTTATTTTTCACCTTATTGTGTCCTTCATTGACAAATTTTAAATTTGATGCATCCTACTCGCTGAAAGCGTCAGGCTGTCTTAAAGTTGAAGGGGAAATAACTGAAGATATGATACGTCAGCTTTCTTGGGCACGTTAAACTTTTTCCATAGATTGGTGAAGAATAAGGCCATTTTTTTTCTTCGTATAATTCTGCTTTTGCTTTATATGAGCTTCTTTTGTTTTCTCTGATTTTTTGATTCATAACTACGTACTTTACACAACCAGAAAATAAGGAAATTAATGGATTGATTAAAAAATGGAGACCATGAGATAATTTTAATCTTACCTCCTCCGCAGGTCACAGAACATGTTGACCAATGTGAAATAGGCACCCATTGGTATGAGAGATTTTCCACAGATTCGCCGAGAAGAAGCGGCCTTTCTAACATATAGTCTACTCCTGCGGTCTCTTCCCTTACTCTCAACAACTAATTGATAAACGACAAGAAAGCTATAGTCTCAAGTTTTTGCTTTCTTAATTTTAAAGCACATGCAGTTGACAAGAGACTTAGTGTGGACGTTTTGTATTCCCTAATAAAGTAATTATGTTACGTAAATACATAGATCACTTTTGGTGATCTTACAAAATGATGCACACATAATGACTTCCGTTCATGCAATGACTGACCATCGTTCGGAATTGACAGCCTAACACACCGATTTAAAGACGGAAAGGCTAAGCTAATGACTGTCCGACTGACTTAAAGAATGACTTGCTGACTGACTAACTTGCTGATTGGCTGGAAAACTGACTGGCTGGTTGGCCTGGCTGACTCATTAACTGGCTGATTGGCAAACTGATTGACCGCCTGAACATTTTACACACACGCTGACTTGATGACCGTCTTATTTTCTGAGTGGCTACCTGGTTTACTTAGTGACCAGCTGACTGACTGACCTTTTTTCAGACTGACTGATTGACTGATTGACTCGATGAATGACTGACTGACTGGTCGGCTAGCTGACTGACCCACTGACGTTTTACCCAGCTGACTAACCAGACTTACTGACCAGATGCAACCCAACCCAACATGAGGTTAATTATCTGACGAATGAATATTTTGACTAATTAAGGAATGGATGGATTATTGACCTAATTGGTTTCGTGATGCAAGCGATTGTAATTTAATTTATGGTAAAGGAATAGATTAAAAATAAATCGGCATGAGTATAATACCACAACTTTCAGCGTCTCTGTGGTAGGTCCACGAATCTCCAATGAATCTCTGTATTGCATTCCGTCGTGTTTGTAGGTTATTGTAGCTCCAGCGTATTTTATTGTCTTAGAGTAAGTATGAGGCACATTTATAAGGTAGTTTCCATACACGTCTTGAATGCCTGGAAAACACCATCATAAAACTGATTCAAATAATGAACAAAAAATTCGACTTTTTCGAAATATCGGTTTATGAAAATATATTTTATGTTGCTCCTCTGTGCTATTCAACATGATTGAAGGCTATGTTGCCCTCTTACTTACCTAGTACATTGTACGACTTAGAGATTTTCTTTCTGAAGTAGGCGTAAACTGTGCCAGGAGGAAGTTTCTTAATTACGGCCGACTCATTAACGTCTGCAAAAAAATTTATTCAGGTTCACTGCTCTGTCGAAATTTATTTTGAAAAGCAGGTTTTAAAAGAGTAACGTTCAAACACTCGGCGATGGGGAAAAAAAAGGCATCACTTATTCGATAATTAATGATCTAGATGCTAAAAATTTTTTTAAATGATAATAATGATGATAATTCAGACGACAAAAATGATGTTGAGAAGAAGGGGAAGTAAACGTTCAAAGATCGCGTTAGTAACCAGCCATCATTAATTCTTCAAAAAAAATGAATCAACATAAATTCTTACGTTTTATCTTTTCTGTAAAACTACCCATTTCATCTTTGCAGGAATCTGCCTTCCCTCCACACTTTCCACATCGGTCAAATTTTTTCCTTGAATACATCAAATGATCGCAACCTACAGGCTTAGAATAGCATAAGAATAAGCAGCTTAGTTGGCCATAGATTAGTTCATGCCAATGGTTGTGGGAGGAGGGGAGGGAGGAGAAAGGGGAAGTTGGGTAATTACCAAATACTAAAATACCTCACGTGTCCCTTTGATGCAGACGTCAAATACGATTTCATCTTTTGTTGCACGAGTTCCATCTTTGACTTTTCCATGTCTTGAGACTCTGCTCCCAATCCGGCAATAGAGTCCACAGAGATCTGCTCAGGGAAATGAAATTTAATTTGGGTCCAGATCATTAAAACTGAATTTACCAATAGAGGAAACCAAAATATATAAACTTCATTAAGCTACCATTTCTTAAGAGTACTGAGCACTGACATTTTCTTTTAAGGGCTACATCATTGTAATCGACACTGCTCTAATCATTTTACCAATATGTGATTTTATTTCTATCAATACTTGCCTGACCCAAGGTAGTATGGCACAAAATCTTGGTTGTACACCTTGCATTGCATCTCTCTGTATGAAATCGTTTCGTTGGCACATGGCTAATAGAGAATGAAATTATTCTATTTTAATAGTTTAGTGGAAGATGAAAATAATCTGAAACTAAAAGCGCTTGCTATTTTTTTTTCTTGTCAGGCTACAAATATTGATCACATTAATTGCTTTGTAGGGCTAAGAGTAAAGACTCTTAAATTTAGGTACCTCATGTTTTAACCCTTTCACTCCTAAGATATCATCAGTAATTCGCTTTACTATCTGTCATAAAATTCTTATGATGTTAGTTCGGAGAATTTGATATTGAATCAACTAAAAATCCCTTGATCGCTATTTTTCTTTATTCTCATCACTTATCTGATGATATTGCATTGACACTATCAGGAGAAATTCTGCCTCACTCACTCACGGGAGTTTAAGGGTTAAAAAGTTTAAGACGAAAGGCTAAATCTCAGAGCAATGAATATTTGACTCCATTTTAGATCTAATTTTTCACCCCTGCCCATCACTGCATGATATATTTCGGTATGATGTATCCGTTAATCTACATATTCAATCAAACTGATATAGGCAAAAGCTGTTTTACCCTAAAGTTGCAGGTTCGCCATTGACCAATGGTTGATCCGTCACAGTTCTTCCCTCCGTACTTTGGTCTGATATAGCGTGCAGAGGTACGTGCAATAAGAAAATAGAATTGTCAATGGTATGTTATTTCATGACTGGGAAGGCCTTATAATGAAAAGGTTCCAAAAATGCTGCCGACGAGGGCAGCTTTTTCAATCTTACGTAAGTTTGTCACAATACTGACCTAAAACCGATGAATCACTTAAGTCGTAAATCGCAAATCGCGATAATTGTCAACCTTGTCTACAACACTAGTGTCATCGTTACAGTCGGCAGATATTGGAAACCCAGAAACCTTTAAGAATTGAACCATTCATATTGTTCGATTCACTGCCATGAAAATCATAGCATATTAAAGGAATCCAACTCTCCGACGTTGCCACGATCATGGTTAAGTGAAAATTAATGAAAAACTCCTCAGTTCAACTGAGGCAGGTTAGACCGAAGAGTTGACAAATCCACGGTCAATATGACTCTGTCGATTAAATGCTGCACAAAGAAGTCGTTAAAGTCGTAGATAACAGAACAGAAATTGACAAGAACGAGGCTTGCTAGCAACTTTTTAGTTACCAAATTAATACAAAATGGTGGAAAATTCTTACGTAGGGTTATTGCATGTCCTTGTCCTGTGCTGTACCCCTCCCCCACAGGACCGAGTACATTGGGTGTAAGTTGACCAATTACTCCACCCCCCATCAACGTGCGCACGTCCATTATCGACGCACTCTCCCTTAATGCACCACTGGTGAAATAAAAATCCAAAATTAATCTTAACTTGAAAAACGATTGATCGGTAAAAGGCCGCTTTATACAACATCTGTACGTACGTCTCGTGATCCGCAACTCGTACCATCTGCAGCCGGAACCCTTTGAGATATACATGAATAGCCATCTGAAGTGCAGTATAAAGTGCAGTTTTTCTAAGAAATAAAGGATAAAAAATAATAAAAAACAGTGACATATTTTTCGCGTAAGTAGGGCACAGAGGCCAAATTAAACCGCCGACAAAAAATCGCAAAAGGAAATGATTCTTTAAAAACCTTGGTATGAAGGCTAACTATAAAAAATATTTTTCATCCAGAAGATCAAATTTTCATGAGGATAGATTTAAATCAATGTGAGAAATTAAGCTCTCTAAAGATTTACCCTTAGTTGGCTGCATCGCCTGTACGCTTCCCCGTAGTGACTTTTGCACTGCGTGTCTCCATCCATAATTTCACCAGGGAGGAGGACTGATAAGTCGGCTACATCAGGAGAGGGAGTGGAAAGAACTTCGGTCGGCACATCATCCAGACACGAGGACTCGCTACTTCTGTATGAATAGTGTTCCGGAAATGAGTAAAATGATATGGTATTTATTTTCCGGTATTTATGTCTGTTTTAGTGCCTTATATTTCCATAGGAAGATGTGGCATTTAAGTTGTAGTTACGTACTTGAGCAACCAATCTCTTTACTTTATGGATTTAGTAGTCTTTTTTACGATACTTGGACCGATAATACGATAATACGATAATACGATAATACGATAATGGGAACTAAAAGGTATCTCGCATGTGGACCTTGGCGGGCAAAGAAAGGCCAAAGTGTCATTTTATTAAGTGGTCGCTTAGCCGAGTTGCTTCATTTAGATGATCGAGAAAAAAAAACAGCAACAACAACTACTAAGACCGAGAGCTCATAGGAAAACACAAAGGGATGAGGATATCAATGCAGAAATGCACGTAATGGATTGCAAACTATTGATATTTAAAACATTGGCTGAGAAAATCCTTTAGTCCGGCGCGGTGTTACAAAATAAATATTCCTTCAATAAAGACTGTCCTTAAATTATCTCGTAATCCTTGTAGAATTGTCCATTGCTTACGACGCAGCGCCTCGTTCTCAAACAGAATCAACAAACCTTCCTTCGATTCCTTACGTACTTAAGTTGGACTTCAGTATATTTTGTCGTAAAAGAAGAGCAAAAAAATACCGAACGATGACTTGTGGCTTGTAAGTCCCTTTTCGTGAGAATCAAACGTTGGATATTCATCACACTACCTGAGGAATGTTTGCATTTCGTCTGCACTACAGGTCGACCATCTCATGGCATTAACTCCATTGGGGAGGACTGCAGCCATTATGTACGTACCTCCCTCACATTGATTTTCACTACCGTCGTGACCCAGGCCAAAGCTAAAGGGAAAAAAAATTATGGGTTAAAACGAGTAAGACCCCTAATGAGGTATATGCTCGGTTAAATCGAACATAAAGGGAAAAATGAAATTACATTGATCGACAGGGTTAAAATAGGGTTTTGTACTTGTAAGCCTAAACTACGTACCCTACTGTCTTGTCGGCATTCATGTTATGATTTTACCAAAACTGACATTTTTGTCGGAACTGTAGTGAATTATTCGTAATCGACTACCATGTAGATTCTGCCGTATGGTAAACTGGAGAAAAGTTGTTATTAACCACAGGCAAAGGAACTGGACACAAACAGCGAGGGAGCTATATCGGCTTAACAACTTACTTGTGGCCAGTTTCATGAGCAATGATTCCAGCAGATTGCAGTCCTAAATCATTGTTTACGTTCACTGTCCCAATTTCGTTTTTGCACATTGATTTGAAAGGTGCGGTACCTGCACGTGTGGAAACAACTTTAGTGCATACACATTTACCACAAATAGGAGATTAATGGGTTCCACAGTACCATCGTAAAACCTGTTTTAGGAACCGAAAGTGATCACTGCAGCATCTGATAACATCTGAAGTTTAGAAAGGAGCGGCTGACCACAAGGAAACTGGACCCCCTAACGTTGCTATTAGACTGATTTAAAATAACAGAAAACATAACACTTACCGCCAGATCCAACCAATCTATAACGATGACATTAAAAGAGACATGTAATCAGAAACTTCGTGTCCTTATACAGAACAATGGTAATTAAGACTTTTTCACAGCAATCAACGTTAACTTCGTAGTGCTTCCCTCAATTAGGCTATCAAGCCCTACGGTCCATTTTCCTGAACCTTGTCCGGCTTTTCATGGAAGGTGTGTGTTAAGGTGTTAAGAAGGGCAATGTTAAAGGAGAAGCATTACGCTTACTGAGAACAAACTCGGTTAAAGAATCTTCTGAGTTAAAGAGGGAAGAATTCTAACCCGCCTCATAAAACGTGGCTAACCTCAATACCTCGTCGGAAAGATCTTGGCCGAAGTACATTTCTTATCATGCAACGCGGCTTACAAACCGAAAACATCTAGAAAGCTTCGTTACGACTTTGAACCCAGCAACAGCCTTTTCGGAGTTATACACGGTAGGGACGAACACATTTCGACCCGGATTCCAGCTCACTAATTAGAAAGTGGTTTATCTAAATTGTCTTCCCAGGCTCACCTAGATATGTATGAAGTGACATCGACTTTGTCCGAATAAGCGATGTCTTTGTTCCATTTCTCGAGTCTTATTACTTTGCCATTATTACTCAATGATTGCAAACCAAGCTGGAAAAAGCAGTGAAATGGTCAGTATTGTTAAAATCTTTGTCAAAGTCTTGTTGCAAAAAAAAGTAGACTACCAATAAATGAAATGAGTCCCGCATCTTTCTCATTTAGACTGATATCGTTATATTTACCAATCATGCTTGCTTGTTGAACCTGTACTCGCCACGTTAAACAGGCAAGCATGAAAACGTTTTACTTACCTCTGCAGCATTTAGAACTGTGACACGCTTGATGACATAGGTAACTTTGACTTTTCCAATACTGGGATCTTGGAACATGCCTGCGACCTTCGGGAAAGAAAAATATGAAAGTTTAGGAGTTTAAACAGTAAATTTTAGGGCCAGCTATTTCACGCACAAAAATGTATTACTTATCGCTTCTTCTTTTCCGCAGAAAGTAAAAAGCGAGTAAAGAAATTGTTTCGTCCCGTAACTCACAATGTTCCCAATGATGAGCAGAATTGATGCAATTTTGGACTCGCCATATTTCTCAGCAGTGATTTCATCTGTAACCAAAGCAGCTTCCAAGTATTTGTTTGACGATTTAATGGAGCGCAAAATTCTTTTCGATGAAGTTGCCTTAGCTGTTGGAACAAAATAGGTAACATAAGTATAAAAGTTGTTGTGATGCGGATAACTCTCTAAAATGAACTTTTTGTGTTTGTAGAGACCACATCCAAAATATAAGAAATAGAGCAAACTCTAAATGAAATAGTTGTAGATGGTTGTGATAACGTTTAACGCAGACTGCGAATGACAACTTTGAAAACTTAGGATACCGTAACATAGCTTCTTAAACATTATGTCAATTAGATGAGGAAAACAAAATATACCTCGCTTGCTGAAAACTAAATTTTCTCTGATTGAGCTTTTGACAATGAGGTGAGGTTGACTTATCTCTTTATACTCGACGTGCTTCGAGAGATGAGTTGGCAGCGGTTGAATGTATAAAGATTCACCGGATCGCTGGATCAGTCCATGCTAGAAAAATTGACATAAAACAGTTATGATCAGTTAGCATTTTGTAGACTCTGAACAATAGTAAACAGGGCCAACGACTGACTGGCGCAGTGGACTGGACATGCTAGTTGCTAAATCTTGCTAAGTGAACGTTTTGAGTGATCTTTAACGTCACTCTGACAGCACCTCACACCTAGGAATATCAGTGGATACAGCAGCTGTCAGTGATTAACCTGAAGAATCAGTAGCCTATATACAGACCAGCATCATGAGTATCCTCAACTCAAGCTTTCAAAACCGTTAGCCTTGGTTCGTCACATGAGTACACCTGTAATATTTGGTATTACTTTAAAATAGAAATTTAGGGGTAGGTAACGGTTGCTTTGAGAATTTCTAGGATTTAGCTTCGAATAAGCTCAATTCATGGCGATTTGGTCGGCTGATGAATATAGGGAAAAATTTTTAAACAATTTTGTAATACTATGTCATTCGTAATTTTACCGTGCCAAATTTATTAAGAAGAATAGTATGAAAAAAAATTATGACTCTCACCATTCCCTGGGAGTGACTAACGGCCACCATTGACTCGGACTCTGACATGACCTTTCCAAGATAAAAAGTATTTTTCGGAGCCGGTTGATACTCTGTTCTCCCATCTCTTCGTTTGATTTCCACTTTAAAATCGGGTGACATAAGCTTCTGATTTAATATGAGTTGTAAAGGCAGTTCTTCGCCAAAAGCCTTTATCTTGAAGTACTTTTTATCATCTTCAGCACTTCTCTTTTGACGGTGATCATCGGTTTTCTCTTCAAACGGTTCGCTAATGTCGTACTCAGGTACTGAAAATTTTTCATAGTTTATGAAATATTTAGTCTTCAGGTAATTCAGATAGACAAGAAATGTTCATCCGATAACGTGAGAAATGAAAAAATACCCATACTGTAAAAAGATCTATTCTAGAGTAAGATAGATAGTTGAACATTTTTGCGTAATCTTGTCGACTCGATTCCATACAAATTGTCGAGTGAGGCGCGCGAGGAGTGATATTCGAATCTCAAGTGACGTGTTCGAGTACGTAATCTGACGTAATCTGACGTAATTTGATAAAAGAAAGAGCAAATCCGTTTGCAAAATCCATTTCAACTAAAAAGTTCCCTTAACATCTCATCAACTGGTTAAGAAACAATTTAATTAGATCAATAGCAGATTTTTTCATTTTATCATTTAACAAACCATGGATTTTGATACCATTTTATCAAAAGTAAATCTTTTTGCGTTTATTTAGAAGTAGTTTTATTTGAAATTTATGGGACTACCTTGTGATAGGTCATCAGTTCCAAAAAAGATCTCCAGTTCTCTCTTAGTCATTTTATGATGAAGATTCTCTGGGAATCCTTCCTTTGATTCCTTTAAAATCAAATAAGATGAAAAATATTTAATAGATTTTAAATTTTGTTTGAACTGTGCTGCTTTTGAGGGGTTTCTGCCGATAAAAAAAGAGCGTCTCTCGTTTCATTTATGAATTTTGATTGAAATTAAATTAGTATGAAAGCTTAATTTTTTTTTCTTACTCACCTTATAGGAAATAGCCCCAGCTGTAACTGTAAACAAAAATGACAATAAAATTTAACAAATAGAGAAGCCTTGACCGTGCTTCGTTCTGTTGTGAAGCACGCAGGAAGCGGCTAGAGCACGGAAGAAGTGTAGGGAGAAACACGAGACGTAAATTACGGCGCCTAGCCTTTTTAAAAATCTTTGTTTGGTTCTTCTGTT